AATATACTAACTTTGTGATCTCCAATAAATTTTCACAGCCGCAGAACCCTCCAATAATCGGAAGCAGCCCCGCCGGCCCAAGCCCAAACCCAAACCCAAACCAAAACCCACTCCTCCCGCCTCCTCCTGGGCCTTCTGGGCCCGCTATCCGGCCCAATTCGATGGCCGAGCGGGCCCGTCTAGCTAACATCCCGCTTCCCGAAGCTGCCCTAAAGTGCCCGCGCTGCGATTCGACCAACACCAAATTCTGCTACTTCAACAATTACAGCCTCACTCAGCCCCGCCACTTCTGCAAAACCTGCCGTCGCTACTGGACACGTGGCGGCGCCCTACGCAACGTCCCCGTCGGCGGCGGCTGCCGCCGCAACAAACGCTCCTCCAAATCCAAATCCCCAGCCGCCACCGCCGCCGCCACGTCATCACCGTCCCCTTCCGACCCGACCCGCCACCAAACCCTATCCACCACCAACAACACGAACAGCCACATCACGGGCTCGACCGCGCTCCCAGACATGGGCCCGCTTCGTTTCATGGCGGAGAATTTCGGAGTGGGCCTGGGAGGTGCTACTTACGCTGGCCCATTAGATATGGGCTTCCAAGCCTCAGTGGGCCTGCTCGACGTGGGCGGCCCAAACATGCTACAGCACAATTTCCCGCTGTTTGGGGGTTTGGAGGCGTATCAGTTCCAAGACCCGAATTTTATGGGCTCGTCGGGATCGGGCCAAAATCAGGGCCCGAGGGCTAGATTTCTGGGCCCGATGATGAGCCAGCTGGCGGTGAAGATGGAGGAGAGCCAGCCGGAGATCAGGCAGCTGATGGGAGGATTAAACGAGCCGTGGGGCGGTGGTAATAATAATAATAATAATAATAATAATAATAACACGGGAGGAGCTGCCACGTGGACTGAGCTATCTGGATTCACAACATCATCGACGAGCAACCCTTTGTAGAGAGAGAAAATGTGGGATAAAAGACCTATCAAGAAACAGTTGGTGGAGATGATA